GGTAGAAATCATAAAGGTCTTATCATGATACAAATCCCTTTTGCGACCTACAAACATGAATACACAACATTTTCACATGCAACAGTAAAGTGATAAACTCCTGGGTGGACTGCCACTAAAAACAAGCCTTTTTTCAGCTGCAGTGCTCTTAGTGGAATTACCTTGTAAGTGACTCACAGATTCTCAAGATCAGAGCCTCACTCAGTGTGTTTACATGTGTTTTAGTACTGGGCTTATTCAGATTTCTGCAGTAATAGGAAGCAGTTAGCATCTGTATTTTTATAAAAATGTATTAAGTGACAATATGAAAGGTGTCTCTGGCTATGATGATGCAAGAAAAAGACTTCAGACAAGGATTTCTGTGACAGCAGAGTGGTTTAATTTGAAGAAAGATCAATACACAAGAAACAACTGCAGCTAACCACTGAAATTCTCAATGTTAAACATGTCTTACAAAAGTAATAAGGAAAGAAGAACAACAAGAGACAGTTATTTAACTGAAAGTGCAGTTTGACTACAAATTCTTTTACAAATTCAGTCCAACTTTATGAACTTAATTTGTTAATTTAAACACATGTAACTGCTGAACTTCTGTTCCAGTATGAATCCAGTATTAGGATTAGCAGTGATAGCAGCCATGTGATGTAGGTTGAAGTGTGTCAGGGCATAAAGACTAGTCTAATTATACAGTAAGTAAGAAATAATAACTTGTTTAGTATTTCAGGGGATTAGAAACCAACATAAATTTTTGGACTAGGACTGAAGATGTGAGAAAACAATGTCCAAAGAATAATTTCATATTTTGGTAATTATGTTTTAACACCAGTAGCACTTGCCTTACAAAACAATGTATATTTATATATATGACTTGTTTGACAGGAACAAAGGATGAGGTTTGGTGTTGCCAGTTAGAAACCTACGTATTAGTTTGTCTCATCTGGAGGACTTGTTGGCTGAGAGTGTTCACTTTCTTGCTGAGAGTTATGAGAGATCAGACCCAGAAACACTGTGTACACAAACACACTTCTGTTCATCAAAAGTAGTTAAAATACATAGCTCCTGCTAAAACCACAAACTGGCATGTATTTCAAAATCAGAACTTTAGAAAAAGTCAGGCCAGTTTATCTGTGACTCTAGTCTTAAATGCACATTTGTGCTTTATATCAGTCAGTTATGAGCAGAAAATCTATTTACAGTCATTTTCACTGAAGTGAAATATTAAAAAGTACACCATGACTCAACAGCAATTTTAATGTACAGTATAACAGTGGTGTTGATGCAGCTGGCAAACTTTGGCTTAAGCAGGTTACCATACCACTAACATGAATATGAGTCACAACTTTAAAGTGAAGTTGGTGTTTTTGGTGTTTTTATTCATTATGGAGTGAATCCTTTAGCTTGTGCAACGGGGATTGTTTTGGCTTTTTCTGAGCCTTTAAGTCTTTGTTTGTCTAGGGTTCTAGTCGACTATGTGACTTGATGGCTTCCTTTTCTTTGTTCATTCATCACCTTTCTATTCTTGTCTGTCCCTGTGTGTTGTTCTTATTCAGGCTTCTTGAATAGCCCCAGTAAAGCAGATAGAAAGCCAGGTTTCATATGCTATAGAGTGTCTGTAATAAAGGAACGATAGAAATTCATGTCCTTCTGCGTAGGAGGGTTGTCTGTGACTCTTCCAATTAGTTGCTGCATTGAAAAAAGCAAGTTTTAAACATCAATATTTCAGTATATTTTTTTGTGTGAGAGTGAAGAGAAAAGGAAGTAAAGGACTTTATATTTGCAAGTTTCTCTTTGCAGCTTTATCAGCTGTCCTGTTGTGCAACTTGTGTGTTTATTTAAGGCAGATTGTCAGTTACTGAGTTTTCACTATAAAAAGAAAAAAACAACAATTCTTTGTCACTAGAAATAGTAACTAAGGCTTGAAAATCAGTCAGCTGCCACCCCTGACTCCTGTATCAGCTTATGGCTATAATGTAAATGTAATCTTGTGAATACTCTGGATTACTGCACTGTACATTTTGTTTTTCTTCAAACATATAGTAAAATGAATATAAAATTTCTTTTCAGTTTAGGTTTAAAAAGGAAATATTAAAGTACCAGACTACCCATTGAACCTGCCAAGCTGGTTCAAGGTTTCAACACATTTTAACATCTTTATAAAAGTTTTACATTGAAAATTAACAAAAGGCTCCAGATTTTCTTTTTGCCCCCTATTGTATGCAGCAGCACTCATCAAATTAAAATAGATATATAGAAAGAGAAAGGTTGTACTGGGCTGGCATGGTGGTGCAGCGGATAGTCGCCTCACAGTGAGAAGGTCCTGGGTTCAAGCCCCGGTGCCTTTCTGTGTGTGTGGTTGTTTGTCTTTAAGTGCTAGCCCTGTGGTAGACCGGTGACCTGTCCAGGGTGTACCCCGCCCCTCACCCAGTGTCAGCTGGAATTGGCTCCAGCCCCTCATCAGGACAAGTGGTATTAATAATGGATGGATGCGATTCTCCTTAGAGATAGGGTGAGGAGCTCGGTCACCCGGGAGGAGCTCAGAGTAGAACCGCTGCTCCTCCACATCGAGAGGAGCCAGCTGAGGTGGCTTGGGCATCTGTTTTGAATGCCTCCTGGGCGCCTTCCTAGGGAGGTGTTCCGGGCATGTCCCACCGGGAGGAGGCCCCGGGGAAGACCCAGGACACGCTGGAGGGACTATGTTTTTGGAACGCATTGGCATTCCCCCGGAGGAGCTGGAGGAAGTGTCTGGAGAGAGGGAAGTCTGGGCATCTTTGCTTAGACTGCTGCCCCTGCGACCCAGTCCCGGATAAACGGAAGAAAATGGATGGATGGATGGATGGATGGATGCAATTCTTATTCAATTCAATTTTATTTCTATAGCACCAATTCATTACAACAATCATCTCGAGCACTTTATGCAGCAGAGTATAGACCTTACAGTATTATAGGAAAAACCGAGCAAATCCTCTTTTAGCAAGCACTTGACAACAGGGAAGAGGAAAACTCCCTTTAACAGAAGAAACCTCTGACAGACCCCGGCTCTTGGTGTATGTCTGTCTGCCTCAACAGGTTGGGGTGAGTGGATATGCAAGAGAGAAAAGAAGAAAAGCATCAGGACATTCTTATTCAATTCAATTTTATTTCTATAGCACCAATTCATTACAACAATCATCTCGAGCACTTTATGCAGCAGAGTATAGACCTTACAGTATTATAGGAAAAACCGAGCAAATCCTCTTTTAGCAAGCACTTGACAACAGGGAAGAGGAAAACTCCCTTTAACAGAAGAAACCTCTGACAGACCCCGGCGGACCTGTTTGAACTGTATGCAAACTGAAATGGGTCATGAGTAGGGGAGGAGAGGATGACCCCAGCTTAGGCCTACATATAAATAAGGGATGGTACACCAAAGCAAATGTATCCTTGAATGCATGTCCAGTAATTTCATAGACACCATTACATGAACACAAACAAAAGGCCATCCTGCTGACTAATGACAACTGTAACTTAATTGTTTTCTCTCTCTGTTGCTGCAAAATGCTCTAAGATGTAGCACGCACATTTCATTAAAGATGTTGGACACAATCTTGCATTGCAAAATTAGCGCTGGACTAGTGACGACCCAAGTAACCAACTTTTATTTCCACTGACCATTTGTAGGACAAGAAGTGGCTGCAGCTTTGATGCAGATTTGGGGAGTACTGAACCCAAGTGGTTAATTTTTAGCCAAGTTGAAGGCACATAAGCAACCACTGTAAGAATAGAAATATTCCGGTTCTGTCACAGTTGTTTTAGGTAAAACATATGAAACAGACACTATAGAGTTATAGTCATTTTTCTAAAGGAGGGATTACTGTACTATTTGATAACTTTAAGAAAGGTGGGTGTTCAGTTGGCAGTGTAACATCATTGACAGGATTTTTACTGCATAAGCACCGTGGATAGCTCTTCTCCAAAGCATCAGAGTAGCTGAAACTTAAAGAAAACTCCTCCTAAATGCCATCCACCATAGATACAGTAGTCATTGTGTGGCCCATGGGCCACATGCAACCCTTAGAATGTCTGTTTGTGGCAGTCGGTCTTTGTAACACCATTAATTTGATTAGCATAAATGGCTCCCTCCTAATTACATTGTCACACCTAACTGTGTCAAGAGGTCAGCAGGTTGAACTGCCATTATATGGGTGGGCCCTGTCAAATTATGGATCATCTTGTGATGAAATACAGCGGCCTGGGACAGAGCAGTCAACCGCTGACGCAAAGTGAATTGTCATGCATAGGACAAAGGTGTAAGGAAGAGAGCGGACAGGTGGCTGCAGGGGAGAACAGGGCAGCAAAAAGGAAAAGGTTCTTGCCTTAGAAAATAAACAGTCAACAGGTGAATTTGTCTTTCTGGAAAACAACTGCACTTAGTATTCCAGAAGTCAGCCTCTCTTTTTAAAGCTGCACATGTTATTGTTACTGACAAATTCCCACCTGGCAGCAAATCCAGAAAGATAATTTAGCTCCAGTTAAAGAGCAACTAAAACATCTAGAACAATTGTTTTTATAACTGCTTTATTAAGTACAGACGGGTGACAAATTAAGGGAACAATATGGTAGATTGGGTCAATTCTTGTCTCTGATCAATCATGTGATCATTTGAGAGGTGCTTTTAAATGTTACTCTAGACTTCATTCGAGGTAGGATTGAGTCATTTGATAAAGGTGTCATTTTATTCTCATCTTGGCCTTTAGAGCTTTATTAAGTGTCTGTGTTAGGTGTAATTCTTTGAAGTAAATATGGGTCTTGTTCTCTTCGCTTCCCTTCACTTGCCTTTTCTCCTTGTCTTATCTTGCCTGACCTCACTTCAACTCACCTTTCTGTTAACACTCTCATGTGGATTACTTCATTTTCAGATGTGCATGAATCCTCCACAGTCTCAGACCTTATGACTTGGTGCTGATAGTAATGATTACAGTTTTAAATCGCATGTCAGCTCACACACTTTCCCTTTTGCGCAGGGTGTGAGAGTGATTTCTGGGGCCCTCATTGCAGTAACCGCTGTCAGTGTCAGAACGGGGCCAAGTGTAACCCGATAACCGGAGCCTGCGTCTGCACTGATGGCTACCAGGGCTGGCGCTGCGAGGAGCCCTGTGACCCCAGCTTCTATGGCAAAGACTGCTCACTAGAGTGCCAGTGCCTCAACAGCGCCACCTGTCATCATCAGACTGGCGAGTGCCTCTGTTCTCCCGGATACACCGGGGCCTTGTGAGTAGCTGTGTGGCTGATTACATGGCTGAATGCGATGCATGTTTGTCCCTCTGGGGTGTTTTCAGACACCACCTCTCCATGAGTTCCCCATGAAGATGCTCATGGGCTTTTGCATTATTTCATTTATAACTGAGAGAGAGTGAAGTTGAACATTGAAGTTGGGCAAAAAGCAATATACACTATATAACAAAACTGAGGATACCCCAGTGCAATATTGCTGCAGTGTTAAATGATTCAAAATTGTACCATCTTACACTAATTGTAATATTAAGTTGAAGTGTAGGCTATTTGGTGTTATGTATAATAAAAAAAAAAACAGGTTAGGTAGACTTCAGTGAAAAAACAAGCCCCAAAGTGCAACCAAAAGTGATTAGACCTATGATTTCTAATTAAAGCATGAACAATGTAATAAAAAGAGTCAGTCATTAATATAAATAATTAAAGAGCCCATGAACACCACAGTTTTCTCAGTTGTGACCTGGTTTGCATCTAATGCACCATGCATGGCTCCCCATGATAATGAACAGCCTAAACTAGATGAGGGGTCTTTATAAAGATGGGAGAGGGTACACGAGCATCTGTGGGTGACTGAACTGAACATGAGTGAAAACACAATTACAGCAGTGATCAGGAGGTACATGAAGAGCCTTATTACCCACTACAACCTAGCACTGAAGAGCAGGTGGGTAAGTCCCTCAAACAGGGATTATCTGTGGAAACTGGAGTTTCAGTGGTTGATCAGACCGTGTGAAAGAGACTGCATGAAGTCAGCCTCTGTGCACAGTGTCCAAGAGGAAACCATGGGTCACAAAACTACTGTACAAGATTTAACTTTTCCAAACAATATGAAACAAAGCAAGATATTAGCAGCACATTTTCAATCAAAGTGAGTTTGTTCTGGGGGCCCAGCATGTTTAGCATGGACCTAATAGTGACAGTACAGTGCCAACTAAGTGAAGAGATGACACCCGACGTCTAGAAGAGTGACAGGAGAGGGATTTTCCAACATGACAATAACACAAACAAAAGGCCATCCTGCTGACTAATGACAACTGTAACTTAATTGTTTTCTCTCTCTGTTGCTGCAAAATGCTCTAAGATGTAGCACGCACATTTCACAACTGTATTAAAAAAGTGTTGTAAACTCTAGGCGAACTGGAAATATCTGGAGCTGACGTCATGGCTTTTATTTATGAAAAAAAAAAGTTGAACAAGAATTTAATAACACACTACGACATAATGGACATTGCTTAATAGACTGCTGACAGTGATAGATTCATCAGATCTAGGCAGCTATTTTTGTTATTTTTGTGTTGTGATTTTTCTTCAGCAGTTTGACATTTTGGGAGAACAATTATTCTATTTGTTGACAAGAGTTAGATGAGAAGATGGATAGACCATTAATTATGAAGCTAATTAACAAATGATTAATTCATACACAACTTTGACATTGTCACATTTTTGTTTGTGTACAGATGAAGGAATATAGAAACTTAATATATTATAATATATTACTCAGTGAGCTGTAGAGGTGTTGGTAAGCAGCTGTTTTTTTAATTTTGGACAGAGCCGGCACATTGTAGCTCTATCCTGTCTTTGTAGCCCCCGTGATAAGTTAAACTAATCAACTCCTGGTTCCAGCTTTATATGGTTTGTAACAGATATGAGAGTGGTATCTGTTTTCTCCTGTAACTCTCGATAAGAAAGCAAAGAAGCATACTTCCCAAAAATCTCAACGTATTTCTTTAACCAAAACCAATCTGCTTTTGACAACAACCTCTGCAAGGCAACAGCACTAAAGCATCCCGCATTAAAGAGACTGCCACAGAAATAAAGTGCTAAGTTCAAATGTTATCTAGGTGTGTTTCTCTTTTAGACATTAGAGCAAGAAGAGAGCCAAACCTCTGGCACTAGCTCACAAAGAGCGACTACGCCATAGACAAACCTAGAAATATTCCTTAAAGAGTTAGCCCTTGCCAAAGTGTATTATGCAGCTCTTAATTTAGTGCTGAAAGTCCTGCATAGTGCCAAGGAGCTACTCTTGATCAAAGTCATTAGTCACTTGATTTGGACTCTTTGCTGCTGAATAATTGAGGCTGTGAGAGGATAAAGGATTTGACTATGCTGGCTCACTAGGTATGAGAAATAAAGAGGAGTCCTCTTTTTGAGAAGGAGGAGGAGAGAAAAAGAGAGACTATGGAAGAGAGTTAATTAGAGAAAGACTGAGATGGAGGAAGTATGAGCCTGATGTATGCTTTGTCTGCCCATAGCTTTGTCCACCACAACTGATGAAACATTTAACGCTGATATCTGTAAAGCTACCACCCACGTTTTTGTAGAAAAAAACTCCTAAGTCTGGACAACGTGGCCGTCTCCTCCGGCTTGTTTTGTTGCCATTTGCAGGATTATTCCTTTAGACCTCAGGACAATCCATACTCTGGGTACTTTACTTTCTTTCTGGGGAGTGCGGTTAACCCCGTGAACATTTATCAAAAAGATAATAGTGCTTTGATTTATGGTATCTGACATGATGCAATATACAATAACATGTTCTCTCTTTTGTACTTGTTTTCATCTACTGTCTTCAGCGTGTGATTTATACAGTACAAGCAGTTCATCCACTTACATACCTGTGATAAATACAGATCATAAAAATCTGTTGAAAAAAATACTGTGGAAAGCAATATAAATTAGAATAGAAATACAAAGGATATATAGGTAAATAAAGGGAAGGAGCCAGTCAAAGAATGGGTTTATTATTGAAAATATTCCTTCTATATAATTAGACACAAAAGGCTCAAAAGAAGTCTGTCTTATGTAATATGTAAACTTTATTTTTGTAAATAAGTGTCCATTAGAATATAAGACAAATAGGAACTTGGTATTCATTGTCCTGTGGTAGTTTTACTTTAGCAAAAACACTGGGGATGCAGGGGCCTCAAGAATTAAAAGATGTATTTTGTGCTGGTTCAGCCTGATAGGAAGACTGGAGGAAACTGCATGAGATCCTGCATCCATCATGCTGCATGTTGCCATGGCAGTCTTGATGTCTGTGGTGTTTTGGTCTGAGCTGTTCCCATGTCACATCAGGATAAATGTTGAAAAACATTTGTGTTACTGCACTTCTCAACACCAGTTACAGTCAAGTGCATTTGGCCTTAAAGGTGCAGTGTGTCAGATTTAGGAACATCTAGCAGTGAGGACATAGATTGCAAACAGCCCTCATAGCCTTTTCACAGCGATTGCCGCAAATGCAGGATAAATTGTGCACTTGGAAAATAAGTGTGGCTCACTTGACCAAGCAAAAGCTAAAGGCGGCTCACTTGACTACAGTGGGTTACTCAGCAGTGGCCATGTTCTAGATAAGGATCAAGATAAAAATCAGATTTTTATTGTCAATTCACTTGCAAAGCTTTTTTTTTTTTTGAAAACTATGATCTGGACCTATGAACTATGTCCCTTGACTTGAATCCAATAAAACTGCTTTAAAGTATATTTTAAAGCAGAAGGCAACAAAATGCCTCCAGCAAAAAGCAGCTGAACAGAATCATCTGTGAAGAACGGCAGAACATCTCTCCACAGATTTGTACAAGACTGGAATCATCCATGCCCAGGAGGATCGAATCTGAATCCAAAATGAAGGCAGACAGAATATATTTTAAAATAAATAAATAAAGGAATAGAAGCTCAGCAAAGTACTGTGTAATAGGCTCTGGCTCAAACCATGTACAATCAGTGACGAATCATCCATGCCCAGGAGGATCGAATCTGAATCCAAAATGAAGGCAGACAGAATATATTTTAAAATAAATAAATAAAGGAATAGAAGCTCAGCAAAGTACTGTTTTGTAGTTGGTTGTTAAATATGAAAGTTCCACTGTGGCTAAAACAAATCAAATGTATAAAATTTAAAAAGTAACTTCATTTTTGTAAAATAAGATTTACTACTCTTTCCTTTCTTTCTTCTTTGCTTTTCACATGGCTTCATACAGATTGTAGAACAAAACCTTTGGAACTTTGCAGGTTTTCATTATCACAGAGGAATATTCATAACATAACAGAAAACGAACAAGATTTGGAACAAGACTGAGAAGACTGTGAGCAGCAGTGGACCATAAATCATTAAAAGTTAAACAATTGGCATCAAAGTTGTGATGTCAAATGCAAGTTTGCATTTGCAGTCTTAGAACACATTTGGGACATTTGCATTAAAATGATGGAGAAAAGGCATAATGGTAAACAAAAACAAGGCAATTTTTAACACTATTATTAATAAGCTGTCATTAATAAAAAGGTACCTTCATATTCTTTGATAAATGGCAATGAATTGTTTTTGTTATGCCGTGCTTGGTTTGCACAAGATATCACTTAATGGTTTTGTATTTCTCCTCATTCTCCAAGAAGCTTGGGTTTATCTTAAATACAGTGAGGACATCCTTTGTAATCCAATATGGTATCATACCTCTAATTATTATATCACTTTGACAGTACAAACCTACTGCAGCATCAACTGCTTTTCCAGTGGAACAATAGACTTGTTAGTGATTAGACACTTTAGTATAAAATGCCACATCACAACAGTAAACACCTGTTTCTTCTGTCATTTCCATCCAGCTGTGAGGAGCCTTGTCCTCCAGGTAAACATGGCTCCTTGTGTGAACAACGCTGCCCCTGCCAGAACGAGGGAACATGCCATCATGTCACTGGAGAGTGCTCCTGTCCCGCCGGCTGGGTGGTACGACAAAACCAACTCATTTTGTTGACGTTCAGCTAGTAGGGAATGTTTAAGTCCAAACTTGAGACCACCATGTTTGTGTGTTAGAGAATTACTATGTTGTAAATACAATTGATGCTGCAGTTTTTCCATCTGAAATGTGTGTGTGTTTATGTGTTTTCATCCTCAAGTTTAATTTTTGCTGGGAAAAGCCTCTTAATAACTTTTAATTTCATCAGGACACACCTAATTATACTTTGAAGCCCACACTTATGAAACTTTTATCAGGTTTGGAGCTATTTAGTCACCAGGCTGCACCTGCTAAGACTCATAATTTGAATAAAATATAAGCAAAGAAAAAAACATGATTGCAGGTCTTACGGTAGAAACAAACAGTTAAAGTGGCAGGCTTCTATTATTGTGAACGAACTTAAAAACCTTTTAAATGTTTCTAAAATTCTTTTTTTACTTTGAGTTTTAAATTTCTCTGAATAAAGTCAAATTTAGGTCATCAACCTGAACAAAATATTTTTCTTAGAGCCAAGAAAACAGCATTTTCACAACCTTCTGTCAACGTCACTGCTGTCTACTATGACAAACAGTTGGTTTCATTAACTAACTGAGTGTACACTATCAACATGACAGCTATCATACACACAGCAATTATCTTTTCACGTTTGATGTGCAGGTAAACATGATGCAATCTTCCTCTTCAGGGCCCGGTGTGTGCACAGCCGTGTCCATTCGGTTCATTCGGCATTAACTGCTCCCAGGAGTGCACGTGCCGTAACGGAGGCTTGTGTGATCACATCAGCGGTCAGTGCCAGTGCACAGCTGGCTACATCGGAGAGAGGTACAACGGGAGAGTGTGATCTCGGCGTAGACTGTAAGACTGTATGGAACTCTGTCAGGCCCCCCCAGGGAAATTAGCTTGTTGCTGCTGTGAATATTAGTAGAATTCAGCAGGGAGAGAGATAAATATGAGCACACAGTAAGATATGTAATAAACAGTTAATACATTGGGGGAAATGATAGCGGCAATGAGACAAAACAGATCTTCGATTCAATATAAACATATTTTGTGTGACAGTATTAGTAGGAAGTACAGAGAAGGAGTATGAAACATTTATGTACTGTATAAAATGCCTGCTTGTAACAGCTGCAGATATTAGCAGCAGGCCCAACTGCTTATTTACATTTAGATTACTTAATTAGTAATTAATGATATTTAAATATATTTCAATAGGTATTATTGTGTACACACTGTGCGCTGTGTGATGTGTCTGCTCCCCAGACGTTTTTAGCTACAGTAGGCTGCCCCTCAGTGCTTGGTCTGTTGTTTGTAGCTTCCAGATGAATATTAATTACAGTAAATACTAGATACTCAAAACAGTGTTACTGTACTCTTATCATAAATTATGAATTTTTTCAAAATACAGTATTTAATCATAAAAGATAAAATGTTTACAAGACAGATATATAAAGGACCACAAATATTGTATTTTTTTTTTATCTAAATCTAACAAACTAGAGCAATAAACAATGTATATCCTGTGTCCCTGTACAAATTATACCCTTTCCCTTCTACCCAAATATGTGTTTAAAAGCATTTTAGCCTATCTTAAACCACAATCTTTCTTTTGTTTTTATTATAAAATTATCAGGTTTTTAATGACACCTCCTGTACTTATACATAAATTTGTTCAATTAAAATGTGATGTGGTAATTCAACCCATCATATAAAGTACAGTTAAACCACTCTTGATCACACGTTATGGTAGCTAGCAGAGTAATTGTGTGGCTGTAATGTGTTTAAATATCAGCTGGCAAAAGCTTTGTTTACACTTCCAGACCTCCACCTCCCACCCTGTCTCACAGCAAAATGTATAAAAGCTGGTCTGCCACACTAAACATACTATTCTCACAATTACGCCTCCAAAACACGTTGACGTTGCATCGCCTTTCTGGCATGAAAGAAAATGGTTAAGTTTAGGTACAGACACTACATGGTTAATGTTAGGGAAAAACCCTTGTTTTGGTTAAAACCCTCAAATGAACAAAACTCTTTAAAATGAAAAGTGCAACATTGCACAACGACTGACACAGGACGCACACTCTGGTTGTCTGTGTGACAGTCTGGCGCTTGTTAGACCCAACTACCACCTTCTAGTGTTTCTAACTTTCTGTAGTTCAAAACTGTTTTACTTCAACAGACACTAAATGTTAGCGTCCCAGTCCACACTCTAGTCCAGGTGGTGGCAGTAATGCACCACTTTGTTGATTGCTGACCGCCATAAAACACCAGGAAGAAGACATGAAGACGAACACTGGACTGCAATAAAAAAAACTTCAGCAGGTCACAGTTTTACAGCTGTTGTTCTAACATTACTACATTTTTCACTGTGGACCAATTTAGCTCTTCATGTGAGACTGGGCTGCCCATGTGCTAGAGCAGCAACCAGTGGTAAAAATATCTAAGTATATTTACTCAATTCCTGTACTTAAGTACAATTTTGAGGTATTAGTACCTTACGTACAACTCTAAATGAATACTAATGTTGTTCAGTGTCTGCTGCATGTATAAAGAGGCAACATTAAGACTGTCAAGCAGTGTTGTGTTTATAGCTGGCTGTGCTGCCCCTAGAATATAAATAAGTCCAAGTGGTGTGAGTGGGCTGCCATGCAGTAACAATCCCTGCAATTCTGCCTGGGGACCTTTATTGCATTTCATCCCCCTTAGTTGTTCATCTTTATGTCGTCATCTGCTGTATCAAATGAAGGAAAAAGTAACATTGAAAACAGAAAAACCCTACTAAAGTCAGTGCCAGGTGACATTTATCCTTTAATATGCTGTTTATTAGAGAAGACTTGTGGTACTACGCACCCTGAAACTCACCAAAATGAGTGTGTTCTCAGAATTAGAAATAGATTTTGACATGTGAAGTGTAGTTACGTACATTTGTGTGTACAGAATATAAAAAATGTTCAGTGTTAAATGTTAATGTAGCTCCCTCCTATTCCCTTTGTGGTTTGCCTTCATACACCTTTCTTTAGTTTTGGTTAAACTGGAGATATTAACCAAGAGACATTTGAAATTGATTTGGACTTTATGTCCTCCATCATCTCAGGCAGACTTCCTTCAGTGCCCACCTTCCTCTGGTCAGCACTCTTTTTCTGTCTCGGCTATGCTCTCTTCTCCTTGCACCCTGTCTCTCTTTCTCTCTCTCCACCTCCATCGTTATTCTCAATTGAACCAAATTACCTCCATTCATTTATGCCCCAGACAGGTGAATTAGCCTACATGGAATAATCCCTAGATTCAGTTCTCTTCCACCCCATCCACGTTGTAATAAAATTAGCTGAGATAAGAGTCCTGAGGAAGTCAGCATGATTTAAATGTGACACTAAACAGAAGGCCTCACTGAGCCATTTTAATTGAGTGATTTGTCTATTTCTTAATGGTTTCTTCTTGTGGACGTGTTAAGAATGATCCAGAGATGTCAGCCTAACTTAGGCTTTACCTTAGCTTAAACCATTTTCCACTGAATTCAGTTCTGTTATTCTCATTATAATCCATATGGCCTCTTTGTAAAGCTTTAACCTTGAGCACCACTCAGGGTCCCAGCAGTAGCTTGTTGGCCTTATAACGCTGTGAGCATGTGTGACAGTAAAGCACGTGTCACGTGTGAGGAAAATGGAGTGCTCTCTGTCGCTATTGTTAGGTAGCAGTAGACACATCGTTGATCATTCTTTGCATTGTAAATGTGAGCTTAAAGGATCCCTCTGGCCACGATGAATGTGAAACCTGTTTTTAACATTTGGAACAACCTAAAACAAGCATTCAGTTGTCATCAGGTTGGGCTTTGAGTACATGAACTCAGGTATCTTGGATTTGAGTATTATCCTGGTTTTGATTATATTTGAAATATGATGTTTGCATCGAACAAACAAAACCTAGTTATTTAGCCTGGTATCTAACAAATTAAAATATACAGTTACTCCAAATGCCGGAGCTCGAGATCACAGGAACGATTCTCAGATTTATTTTCCTTTTGCAGCTGAAATGAGGCAGATAGAGCATGCATACACAGGGAAGTCTAAATGCATCAGGTCTACAGTGTAAGGAAAGAAAGATCATGGATAAAACTCAAGCTAGCTATGCTGTCGGGTTACTGTAAGGTGCCTCTTTAAATTACAATGATAGACCTATCCTTATTTACATTGAATAGATGTTTAAGCAGTCTTCACAGGTTTGGAACTGATCTGAAATGTAGAAAAACCACCTGAACCTTATTTTAAAACAAGACAGAGATAACTGAGGTTAATTAAACACAATCCAAAATGCAAAGCCACTCTAACAGATAAGACTGGCACTGGCTGGTGATGTCCAATAGAAGAGTAAAACATAAATATACCTGCAATTCAAAGTTCACACTCACCGTCTCCGTCTAAATACACAGTGTACTCCAATGATGATGACGACACATCATGTGAACAGAGTTGATAGTGAATCTACTGGATCCCTTCTGGCGTAAATACCAGAGCAGAACTGAAGAGAACTTACTGATAACTTACTGAGTGACAGCAGATTAATGTGTAACTAATCAGTACATTCATTGAAAATAATGCAACGAAAAATAAGCGTAGTCGCAGCCCTAGACCCAATATCTGCTGCAAAAGTACAGGATCCTCAGTGTCCTGTGTTTGTCTCTGGTCGCAGCCTAAAGTTTTTATTCCTCCACCTTTTTTTGGGCTGTTTTTATTTTCTTTTTTAAAAAATGTTTAATGCATCATGTAAAGACAACATATTCTTGACCTCGTCCCATGTCAGATCTCCACTGAAAACACATGAAGACAATTATTGTCAGCCCTTTTGTCAAAGTGACCTTCACAAAACAGGGTTTATTTGATGCCTTATGTGGTCTCTCTGCAAAAACAAAAAAAAAAAATTTTGGAACATTTCTATGGATTGCATTCTTAATAGTTTTTACATAATTCTTTAGATTCAGTTTAATAAATGTACCTGGAGTAATCATTTAAAGCTTGCTGGCGCCTTTGATGATCTAACCTTGTGTCTGGATATACAGAAAGATTGCTACTTTAATGACGAACTCAGCTTATAACTCTGACTCTTAACTGCTTCTTCAGTCAGCTGTTGGCCAGAAACCACTCACTTCAGTTCAGACAGACTGTTTTCTACGTCTTACACAACTTCTCTACTAATGTCTTATACCAACACAGATGCCAGGATGAATGCCCAGTTGGCACTTATGGTCCACAGTGTGCCCACAAGTGTGACTGCCAGAACGGTGCCAAATGCTACCACATTAATGGAGCCTGCCTGTGCAACGAGGGCTTTAAGGGCCCCAGCTGCCAGGACCGCTTCTGTCCCAACGGCCTGTACGGACTCATCTGCGACAAATACTGCCCCTGTGCAGCTGAAAACACACTCAGGTACCAGAGTGTTGGTCTAGTGATCTAGAAAATGTCCGGTGCTTTTACATTGTACATCACAGCATACAGTAAGTATTATGTCAAGTATTTCACATACAGGGCTCCACTAAGTTTTGGAATCTATTCAGCCATAAATCACGAAATGTTCCATTTCCGATCTACACATCTGTAAGCTATTTTTAAAAATAGGTTTTATAAATTCTTCATGTTTAAGTGGATATAGTACCTACCTAAAGTCTCTGGTTTAGGTGTCTGATCTCAAGCCACTAGCCAATTCAGGAATGTAAGCTAGAGACAACTTTTAACATTCTTCTCTTCTACTTTTCTTTGTTTAGACTGTAGTTTCCCCAGGTCTAAAACAGGTGACATTGTCCCAGCATAGAGGGAAAACAATCATTGTACAATAAAGACTGATTTCTAATCTTTTTGTTCTCTCAGTTGTCACCCTTTGTCCGGAGAGTGCACCTGTGCACCAGGATGGGCGGGGCTTTACTGCAACGAGACCTGTCCAGCAGGTTACTATGGCGAGGACTGCAGAGAGCTGTGTGTCTGCGCCAACGGAGCCGACTGTGACGGCATCTCTGGAGCTTGCATATGTGCACCAGGTTATATAGTAAGTGCGGCTACACACCTACTCTGAGAGAAATCCTTGGTAGAGGCAATGATTAGCAGTATACAACCAAATTATTTAGCAACCGGTGAGCTAACTCGTATCATATTTGACTGGCCCAAAAAAATTCTTATTTGATCACTGATATTAAGGTTGACATGTTTAGTGGATTAAACAGCTGGTGAAGCAAAATTTTGCAACAGCTGCTTATTACAGCAACTTCATTTTGCACTTCCATAAAGATGGGAATCTTGCAAGAGATGTAATGAAAAAAGAATAGTTGAAATCAAAGCAGCAGAAACAGACACATCCTGACTTCTAGCGCTGCATGTGTGAGCCTGTATTTCCCATAATGCAACTGAATGACGTTGTTGATATGCCTCTCTGCCTGGTAAATGTGCATGTTTTACCTCCTAACCTTCAGGCTCAGGTTTTTTCTTGTACTCTTAACATACAACAGAATCTTCCTACAGAACCCTTAGATTTGGCTGTTTTACATACAGTTGAAGTCATAAGTTTACATACACTTAGGTTGAAGTCATTAAAACAGATGTTCTTTAACCATCCTACACCCCAAACTCATTTTGGCAAGTCGGCTAAGGCATTACTTTATGCATGACACAAGTAATTTTTCCCAACAGTTGTTTACAGATAGGCTGTTTTACTTATAATTCACTATATCACAATTCCAGTGGGTCAGATGTTTACATACACTGCATCTTTAAACAGCTTGGAAAATGTGCAGTCATGCAGCACAACATTCTCTTATCATAGCTTTTGTTTAGACGCTCACGGCAACAGGTTTGGGTTTGGGAAAGATAATTTGATTTAATACAGAAACATTTTATTGACTTTGGACGCAACATTTTATCAATATTTATCCAAAACCACTGTTTTTCTAAAGTGATTTTGTTTCCTAAACAGATCGCTGGTCTGGTAGTTGAGCACTTTGTATGCCAGCTATCCACACATTAATCACGTGAACGCTCTTAGAATAATTTATCCAGAAGCTCAGTATCTTTGCTCTGTATAATGAAGAAGTGGTACCTGATTCAGTAGAAGTTCTTTTGAGGTTTAAGATTATGTGTGGAGGCTTTTAGGCAGCAGGTGCAGAACATACTGTATAACATGCTGAAGTTATCATAATTTGTCGGGTGCTGTTGAGTCGGCAGGTTTAACCATAGAGTTACATGGTTGCTAATGGAGAAGGGTACGGCAGGTGCAACCCCCTGATATAGGTCACCCTAAAGGAGAAAGAGAGCATGTCGATGTCAGGGCAGTGTTGTGTAAGCAGTAGGTGAGTGTGGGTGAGACTAAATTCTAGACCTCTGAAACAGTGTTTAGTTTCTTTTAGCCTGTTTTTTTGTTTATTTACTTATTGTGGGACCAACTCATTCTTCAGGGGCTCTGCATCATGATATCAAAGTCATTTTAAGATACTCTTTATTCCCATCAGAATTAGGATTAGAATTAATGCTCATCAAGTTAGACTCTACATTTGTAACCTCCTTTTAGTCCCATACTGTGTGTGTTTGATAGTTAGCAGCCTATCTCAGTAAACCTAAGGGCTCTGTTTTCCTGAAATATGGTGCAGAGGCAAGTCTAAACTCCAGGCAAAGTGGTATTTGGGTGTGTCCAGCAATTTTGGGGGGAATTGAATAACTGGATTGTTACTGCTAAAACCATTTCACCACCATTAGTTTTACATGAAATCTATCAACTGTTGTACATTGCAGTAAGCGGAAAGAGTATCCACCAACACTGTCCTACTTTTTTATTAGTATAATAATTTGAAGTTTTCAAATACACCAAGATATTAGTACACATAATAGAGTGTGCAGATGGAGAGCAGCAGCTGCCTTGGTTAAAACATAGATTTACTGTAGAGTTAGAATCAGGATCAAGTCACATGATAGATTTAAGGCAAGACAGGAGATTTTAAGGACATATTAGAATTGTTAAAAGATTAAGAACAGGCAGTTTCCATGAAGTTGTGTGTATGTATGAGTACGTGTGGTTTCTGACTGGCGCATGAAGCAGTAACTGGCTCTCTGGCCCGGCCCTCCTGGTGTGCTCAGTGATCTTGCAGTGATTGAGTGGAGAGCAGAGATGGGACATGTAGGAGCCAAGAGATGACAGGGACTTTGATAATTGGACTGAGAACATCAGGGGTTTTCAGCAGATGAAAGTAGGATGAGCGCTGTAGATGAATGTCCATTTGGCTTATAGCAGCTAAATTTAGATAGATTTCGCTCTCGGTGGAGTGTTATTGATTTACTGGATATTTATACTGCACCGGGAACTCACAATTTGAAACTCTGTGTGTCACTGTGTAGACAAGAAACCAGCTTTAAACAAAATTTATATGTGGTATTGTTACCAGTCTGGACAGTTTGATCAATATCTTTAAACGTGTGCAGCTCTGAGCCAAGGCTTGAAATCTACAGAGCAATACTACAGGTCTGTCGTACCATGAGGAACTGTTGTGTTGGTTTCACTGAAAAGGACAAAAAATACAGAATTGCTTGGAAACAAGTGTTAATCACAGTCTTTAGTTACTTTCTTCCACAATATGTTGTTACCAAATGAATGAAGCTGCTGGTCATTATGGGTGGGTAAGTTTAGGGCATTGTCTGACAATATGTGTGATTTAGCTTGTTAGCTTATAGAGCAATTCAGTTACACCGTGGCAGTGAATCTGTGAATCTAGTGTTCTGTGACTCTGACTGCGACCCTGTTACTTGGTGACTCACTGACTCTATTAATCTCACTCCGTGACTGTTACTCTCTGACTGTGACTTTTATTTTGTGACTCTGTTAACCCTTTATAGGACACTCATTGGAAATTCAAAATGCCAACCCTAGACCATTATTAGAGGATATCTATAAATGTGTGAAAAAACGGAGCTAGTCTCTCATGTCGCTGTGTCCGACATTCCATTAATATATTCTTTTTTTCTCTCTTACCTCTGACCCCCCACATCACCTCCTGTGGGCGGGCCAATACATGATTGTCAACATGATCTACATCCCCCTTCTTAATACTGAATGTCTAACCTGTTTCACATGAACATAGAACTGAAATACATGTTTTAACAGCTACATCTAACTGTCCATGACTTTGTGTGCTATAACAGTGCACATAACTAGTGTACCAGCTGATACACACAACAACATACTGTAGTAAGTTACATAAGGCAGCAAGGCTGCTCCAATGGGAATAAAATGAAGCCTAAATCTATGTAACGTAGTCCTTGTACAGCGAGTTGGGCTTTGACACTCTTCCTGAGCATGTGATGACTACAGCTGGTTCTTGCGCCTGTTCTGTTCGCTGCTGGTCAACATCGGACTGACGTTCGGGCTGAAGTTCAGGCTGATGTTCCTGGTCGGCTGGTGAGGGCAGCCCGTTTCTGGGTATGTTATGTACGTTGAGCAGTGCCACATAAACATCTGTTTTGTCGCGTGCACATTTTTCCAGAAGATTTTTTGCGGAGCATACAGCTCTCTCAGCTAAACCATTTGATTGAGGGGCCACCCTGTCATATCCCCTGTCTGTCCTGCGTGCAGGGAGGGCAAAGTTCGGGCTGACCTGTCATAATGTCTCTTTCCCCTCTGTCTGCTACGCGTTAGGGCTGCTTGGATCTGTGTTTCCACCTTTGGCACATACATGGCTTTGGTCATGGGAATTATGGTCTTGGTGTGCCGGGAGAGCAGGCATTGGGCTGGTGAGGGCAGCCCGTTTCTGCGTATGTTATGTACGTTGAGCAGTGCCACATAAACATCTGTTTTGTCACATGCATATTTTTCCAGAAGATTTTTTGCGGAGCGTACAGCTCTCTCAGCTAAACCATTTGATTGAGGGTAGTGGGGGCTGCTGGTGACATGACGGAAGTTCCATGTACGGGCAAATTCTTGGAACTCCATGCTTGAGAAGTATGTTGCGTTGTCAGTCATTAGCTGCTGAGGGGCTCCATGGGTAGCAAAGTGGCGCATTGCAGTGAGCGCATCTTGAGACCTCAAGGTCAATGTCATGATATATGCTGAGCCAAAACATAGTTTCCCTGGCCCTGCGCTTCGTCGCTTCTAGGCCAGGGTGTCCCTGATGCAGTTGTTTGACATAATAGCGTTGTAGTGAATGAGGGATGATGAAACGCTGGCCACGTAGCAGCAAGCCATTATCGAGTGTGGGTTCATCTTTCATGGCATAAAATTTTCTGAGGTCATGTGGCAGTTTCTTCAATGAGTCAGGCCAGCCCGTGACGAGAACCTTCGTTAAGCGTCTGCATAGGTGATCTGCCTGTGTTTCTTGTCTCAATTCCTCAATCCTCCTGGATGAGAGAACTCCACTGTCATCATGTCATAGTCTTCACTTGTGTCACCAGTGTCAGTGGAGGGCAGGTGTGATCGTGAGAGTGTGTCTGCCAGGTATAGCTCCTTGCCTCTTTTGTAAATGACATCGAGGTTGTAACGCTGCAGCTTGAGCATCATCCTCTGCAGGTGTGCAGACACTGTGTGTAATGGCTTTCTCAGGATAGTGATGAGGGGCTGATGGTCAGGTTCAACGGTCACCGGATGGCCATATATGTAGTCGTGGAATTTCTGACAAGCGAAGACGAGTGCCAACAGCTCCTTTTCTATTTGAGCATATCAAGATTCAGTCTCCGTGAGTGCTCTTGAGGCAAACGCCACTGGGTTGTTGTTCTGGAGGCAAACAGCACCGAGGCCATGCTGGGAGGTATCGGCAGATAGCACCACTGGCTGGTGCACATCAAAGTATTGGAGCACCGGAGGAGATGTGAGGAGTTGTTTAAGTCTGTCGAACGCCGCCACATGGTGCTCCTGCCAGCTCCATTCCACATCCTGGATCAAAAGCTGACGCAGGGGTGCTGTAGTTTCACTGTAACTT